GCTGCAGCGCCGCAACAGGAGTAGCCAAGCTGATGACGTTGGTTTCGATCATGCGGCTGGCGAGCGAAGCCCCTCCTGTCAGAGCCCTGAATACGGTGGACGACCTGACGACGCACACGGTCGGAGGGCCAAGGACGGTGTTTCACGATTTCAAGCATCGAGATCATCACGTCGGAGCTGGCTTCTCGGGGGCTCCCCATCCACTGGAGCAAACCGAAGTTCACGCTGTCAGACCACGACATGCTGCCGCAGTTTGCGCAGGATCCGCGCTGGAAGCTGGACGCCGACAAGCTGGTCATCTCGCACCGCGACCTCGGCGGCGACTCTCTGGGCGGCAGGGTCAGGCGCGTAGGCGCGCAGTCTGCGAGAGTGGCAGCGGCTCTGAAGACTGGAGTCGCTCTGAATCAGCTCGGCCAGAGTGAAAAACATAGCCGCGTGTACAGAGTGGGGGGCCCTGGCGAAAGCGTTTTGGGGCTCTCACATCTTGGGGGTCCCGCCTTCCACTCTCCACAGGCTGAGGGTCCAGGCGTGCCGTTCCTGGGGGCCCCTCCTCCCTGGGACCTCGGTGGGTTTCCGTTTCCTGTCCTCGCCCAGGCTATGGAGTCGGGACCCGTTAGTTGTGGTGACCCGTTCAGCCGTTAAGGAGTTTGTGACTGCGCGGTGGAACCGCTCGATCTCCTTGCCTGTTTTGGAACCCTGTACGCACGATGCTTTGGAGGTTCACAGCAGCAAGGCCCCCTGGGGCCGAGTTCGGCAGCCAATGTCGGCCTTTTTTTCCTGCTCCTGGACCGGATCCACTGGAGGTTCGACCTCTCGAAGCTAGCCCTCACTGATAACCTCCACCAAGAGTGGCCCATGAATAGATTGTCTCCCAAGCTTTTCGTGCTTAGGTGCGCAATGCGGTCAGGCAAGCGGTCGAAAGAGAGGAGCAACTTAAGCAGCACGATTTTCGTGAATGGAGCGACCCAGTCTTCTGGGAACCTCTCCATCAGTTGCTCGGCAGGAAAGGCTCCGAGGTCTGGTCCAATGCCCATGAGGCTACTCTCTCGGCCCTGAATGCGGATGTGCATTGGTGCCTGCATCGGAAGTTTGAGCAGTCCCGAGGCCTCCCATCTTTGCCAACTCTGCGGTGAGGCCAAGGGCACCCTGTACCATAGTAGGTTTCAGTGCTGTGCGTACGAAGGTTGGCGCCGTGAGAACCTGGATCCCCCTGTTGCCAGGGCTGCTCGGGCGATTGGCCATCTTTCGGATGAAGTCAAGGAGTTGTTCAATAGGTGTCTTTTTCCCAGTCCGAAGCCCTGGATCCGCATGCTCCGAAGAGACCCCCTGGACCCGTGCACCCGTCATAGGCAGTGGCCTCAGGATGGCCCCCTTTTCGTCCCCGAAGGGGCCCATGTCTTCACAGACGGCTCAGGGTTCGAGGGTGGCGTCGAGGAGCTCAGGACGGCGGGCTGGTTTGCAGTGGTGCTAGATCTGCATGGGAGAACCATCGCGGCTTTGCTTGGAGCTGTCCCGACAGAAGAAGCGCCAGAACAGCTGGCGCGCGACGGGGAAGATTTTGCTGTTTTAGTGTTGTCCAGACGCGCCGTGTTCGGCCCTCATGTTCCCTTGTATGTAGACTGCGCGGCCACCGTCGGCTGCATCCGTAACCTCAAGGGGGCAGCGGGCGAGAAGTCGGCCAGAGCCCACCGGTGGTCGGAGATTGCCGATCGCCTCGAGGGAGTGAGCGTGCATCCGATTCCTGCTCACACCTCGGCGCAGGATGTCCGCGAGGGCAGAATCACAGAGTTGCAGCGCTTTGGGAACTCGGAGGCTGATCGTCTGGCCAAGGAGCTGAGCCTTCCGCATGCAGCAGTGCGATCGCCACTTTTTCGTTGGGCTCTCGGAGTTTGTCCGCAGGCTTGGTGTTTTTGGCGCGAGTCAGCAGGCCGAGTGCAGGGAGCTTGCGAAGAATGATCACCAGGGCTTGGAATGGCTGAGCTACGTCCTGTTCGACCCCGTGCCTGGTCTCCTCTCTGTCCCTGTCGCCCCTGGGCCTGGTGCGCCTTGTGTAACCGGCTCTGTTGAGCCGCCAGGTGTGCAGGGTGTGCCAGGAGAGGGGGAGGAGGCGAGCAGCCTCCTGAGGAGCCCTCGACCCGCGGAGCTTGGCTCCAGAACGGTCACACGCTGGAGCAGGGAGATGTTTGTGAGGCGGATCGCTGCACACTCCATAAAAGCATGCTGTGTTGCACCGCCTGTGGAGCCACGGCCCACACCACCACCCCACCTTGGAAACGAGGGGAGAGTGGACCCCTTTCTTTTCGGCCCAAGGCCTCCAGGGGCCTCCGAGGCAGGTGCGGAGGTCTCGGGCGGCTGTCCGAGAGGCCCCAGCTGCCGACCTTGTGCGAGGTCTCGCGCTGATGGGCCTCGAGCGGCGCGAGGTGGAGGCCTTCGGTGCGCAGGTCGAGGCCAGGCGCGCCCAAGGAGCTGTGGAGGATGAGGACCTCTTCGGATCCTAGGGCGCCTGGTAATTCGTTTGTTTGTTTTCGTCGAATTCGCTCGTACCTCACACGGTCGTGCGCGTCCTCCTCCTCCTCCTCCTCCTCCTCCTCCTCCTCCTTTTCCGCCGCCTCCTTCTTCTCCTCCTCCTTCGCCTGTTCCTCATCCTCCTACTCCTCCTCCTCCTCCTCCTCCTCTTCCTCCTCCTCCTCTTCCTTCTCGTCTTCATCCTCGTCCTCGTCCTCCTCCTCATCTTCCTCTTTTTTCTCAAACGTCGTCAGTCTTGGCTGAAACCATGCCTCCTACCGATATTATGTGGGCGGGGGCGTTTCCCACAGCCGGCCTCGGCTTCTCTCCGGAGGCGGCAGCGTACAGGCCGTTGGGGGTAGGCGTGTCCTTGCCGCTCGCAGCTGGGAGGGAGGAGGCAGGAGGCAAGAGGCAGGAGACACGAGGGAACAATGGAGGAGTATCGTTGCCGTTTTCTGTTTCTCTCTCTTGTCCTCTCTTTCGGATGGCTTGTCGTCCTGGGATGCTGCTAAATGCATGCCAAAACCGTTCCTGGCCAGGCTCTCCCCTGAGCCGATTGCTGGCGCGCAGACTCCTGGCCCAGGCCCCAGGGCTATATCCGCCACTGTGCCTGTGGGCACGGAGGGGGCGTGTCCTAAGGTCCTTTGCCTAATCCTCAGAGCCTCAGTCCTCAATCCTGAAGAGACTTCACCAGGGTTTCCCGCGTGCCCCCTGGGCTCTCCCGCATCTTGTCACGTGACCGTTTGGGGCCCAGAAAAGGGCCCCAAGACGAGCCAATAGGGTTCCGAGAGGCCCCTCAAGACGGTCCAAAACAGCCCCGAGTCGCCGAACGATCGCTCCAAGACGCTCAGGATGGCCCCCAAACGGCCCAAGAGGCCCCCAAGACGCCCCAAGAGGCCCCCAAGAGGACTCCCAAGAGGGCCCCAAGAGGCCAAAATCATTGAATTACCGCTGGTTCTTGGAAGTTTGTGGCGTTCTCGCCGTTTCGGCTTCCCGACACTCCCAGTCGGCCCTGGCCCTAGAGGGCCCCAGGACCGCACCCAGACGGCCAAAGAGGCTTCCAAGAGGGCACCCAAGAGGGCTCCAAGACGGCCCAAGACGCGCCCATTTGTTTTTGCGTCGGCGGCTGGGCAGAGTAACTGCCCTGCCGGAAAAGCTAACTAAACGGGGACACCGTTGTAGCGAACTGTGCCGCAACGCAACGAAAATGGAAAAAGGAAAGGAACGCGGCCGAAGGAGGGGAGGAGGAGCGACGGCCGCTCGGGGGGACGGGTCACACCCGGAGCGCGTGGCGCGGCCGGCCCCGCCGGCAGGGTCTGCGGTGGCTGCTGCGCCGGGGGCCCGACGGCGGCGGGGCGCAGTGCGAGTACCAGAACATGTCCGGTGGGTCAAGGGTGCAATGCAATCAATGCCGGGGCCAACAATTGATGACGGCGCGTCCCCCAGGGTCGGGAGCGGGCGCGGTGTGCCCAGTCAGATGCTGGGCCGCTGAGGCGGCGGGCGGCAAGACCAAGCCCGGGGCACCAGCGCGGCGGCTGCGAGCAGCCAGTCAGCGCCATGGCGGCGCGCGGATGGAGGGAGAGCGAACGGGGAGGGCGGAAGTGGACAGGGAGGAGGACGCCCCGCTTGCAGAGACCCACAGGCGGGGCGGCGGCGCCAGGCAGCAGCAGCGGCGCCGGGCAGCACCACCCGCGCGCGGAAGGCAGCTGGGGGAGAAGGCGTCCTGCCTGCGCCCAGCGGGGGCTTCAGGTGGGCTCCCGCTGCCGTGGTGGGCAGGGTGAGGCCCGCCGCAATCGGGGCGGCCAGAGGAGCTGGACACCGGCAGTAGCGCCCAGGGGGCGGGGCGGCAGAGGTGGTCCCTGGAGCGGGGGGCGAGGAGAGGGCGGCACCTAACAGGTGCATGGCGATGTGTAAGTGAGAGTTCTGGCTCTTAACCGGAAGAGGCCCGCTCTCGACCCGCAGACCAAAAAAGTGTAAGTGAGAGTTGACCCCTCTGCCCAGGTGGACAGGGTGGGCCGAAGGGGGACAAGGGCGGCCACCACCGTCGAGGTAGACGGCAGCGGGCGCGCCTTGGCAAGCCAAAACTGTGGCTGAAGCCAGCGCCCCCGCCCAAGGGGCCCAAGAGAGGGAACACGAACCGAAAATCCAAGCCTTCCACCCCAAGAGGCCCCCAGGAGGCCCCAAGAGGCGCCCAGGAGGCCTCAAGAGGCCCCCAAGAGGCCCCAAGAGGTCCCCAAGACGCACAAAAGAGACCCCAAGAGGCCCCAAAACGGCCCTTAAGAGGCCCCAACACAGCCCCCAAGAGGCCTCCAAACTGCCTCCAAGAGGCCCCCGAGAGGCCTCCCACGAGATCCCAACGATCATCCAATATAGGCGTCACACCTACAACCCAGGCACGATGGCGGAAGGCCGAAGGCCATCAGCTATGCCTCAGCACTGGACCTGGGAAGGGCCTTGCCAGGAGCAAAGCCGTTGTGCAGGTGGCAGTTCTCGACGTCCCAGGTGTCCTCTGTCCCACAGACTTTGTAGCCCTCCTTCTTGAGATCATCTGCAGACCCGTCACTCAGGGGGCCAGTCATAGTGTCGCTCACGCCGCCGTCGTCGTTCTGACAGTCTGCCGGCCAGCCGCTGGCCTTTTCCAGCAGCGGCGAGTCGGGCGCCTCGGTGCTCGTAGCCATCTTGAGCTCGCCGCACTTCAGGATGACATCACATCTGTACCCATCATCCGTGTCGGTTGAAGTCCTCCGAGAGTCCAAGTCAGGCTGCGGCAAGTGCACCGCGGCCAGCGACGGACGCCCTGCCCCCTGGAACGTGGTCAGGGAGATGTGCCGCGGGCGCGACGGGGAGATGCTGCCATCGTCTTGAGTGAGGCGCATGGCCGTCATGTTCTCGACTGCCGACTGCCCTAGCCCCAGCACCTGGGCAAGACAGGAGAAGCGGCGCTCCCCGCACAAGGCCCTCCATTGAGCACTAGATAAATGCACGTACTGAAGGGGATACAACTGCGCGCAGGACGAACTTCTCGACGTCGGCGCTGTTCGCAGAGGCGAGAACGGGGAACATGAGGGTTCTGCGTCCCTCTGGGGCCCCAGCTCTAGCCGAAGCCTGCGCGTTTCCATGCAACGCCGACCGCGCCATCCCTTCATGTGACCCCAACCGATCGAAATGATCGGTCAGAGCCAATAGATATAGTAGAACCACGAGCTCTTCGGGAGCGCGTAGGTTCTAGCAAGCTCTAGTTGTACCTGGCACGCCCCTCACGCGGATCTTGCACAGCAAATAACTGCGTTTGCGGCTCCAGAGGGAACCATCGTAACGTCAACTTCCGCACCCTTCTCACAGGGATCGTGGCCCGCACAAAATTCCACGGACGATCCTTGAGGCAAGGCCGCTCACCTAATTCGGCACGCATCTCGCACGGATCGTGGCCCAGGGGATCTCCACCTATAGCCCAAGAGGCAGCGGTGCGCCCCTCCTGGCCATTTGGGATCATGCCCTCAAGGAGCACCACCTACAGGCCCAGAGACAAAGTTCTTACAACGCCCCCCCGCCCATGTCGGCACACCCGTCACTCGAATCATGCCCTAGAAGGAGCTCCACCTATGGCACGAATGGGCAGCTTCGCACGGCGTCCATCGGCCCATGTCGGAACATGCCTCGCATGAGTCGTGCCCGGAGTAGGTCCACCTGCGGCCTCAATGGGCGTTTTCGCGCGGAAGCATCCGAATTTTCGGGACACCCGTAATGCAGATCGTGCCAGAATTCAGCGCACCTGCGCACGCATGCTCAGCGACGACCCGCATTCCGCATTGCCCCGCGGCATGCAGTGTTTGAAGAGAGATTCGCGCCCTGCGCTGTACATTGCTGCATAGGGATGGTTCCGTCACCAAGCCAAGTGTTTGCCTACCTATGGCCTTCGTCCCATAACGCAACTGTACTGTGCCTGAGCTTGGCACCAGAGGATTCTTTGGTACCTGGAAGTCGGGGTCTGTTGGCATGCTTGACGGGCCCCTCGCGGAGCGACTCTTCGTGGCCGTCTTGGGGCAGTATTTGGGGCCTCTTGGGCCCTTTGGACGCTGTCAAATCCCAAAATGCGAAACTACCAAACATGTAAGTTTTCCCTTGTGGGGGAATAAACCAATGTTGGCCTCCTGGGGCCCAGCCTTCTTGGGACGTCATCGGGGCTTCTTGAGCCGTCTTGAAACAATATGCGGGCGGCTGCTTGGGGGCCTCTGAAAGCCTCTTGGGGCCCTCTTGGTGCCCGCTGGCAGTCTGAGGGGCTCTCTTAGGCAATATTGAAGCGCTCCTGGGGCCTTCTTGTGACCAGCTTGGGTGCCTCTTGGGCCGTCTTGGGGCTTTCCGGGGCCGTCTTGGAACTCTCTTGTAGGCCTCTTGGGCCTTCTTGGGGCGGTTTGGGGGGCCGTTTGGGCCGCCGAGGACGCTGTGGAAGCCCGAAAATCGTAGATGCTGGAAATGTACGTTTCCCTAGGGAATGGGACAATGTTGGCTTCTTGGGACCCTCTGTGGGGGTCTCATGGAGCCCTCTTTGGGCGTCTTGGGGAGGTCTTGGCTCTTCTTGAGGCCATCTTGGCGCGACTTGGAGCGGTCGCGAGGCGTCTGGGGCGGTCTCGAGCCGGTCCTGGCGGCCTCTGGAGCCGTCCGAGAACCCTCAGGACCCCGCCCGGGAGCCCTTGGGCCGCCCAGGGCCCCTGTGCCAACCCGTGGCCGTGTTTTTTGAGGCCCCCGCGGCCTACATATCTATATATATATATATATTGCACACAGACATATACATAAATACATACATATACATATCCATAAACCTAGACATACACACACATAGATATATATATATATATATATATATATATACATATACATGTACATATACACATACATATACATATACCTATACATAAACATAAACATATACATATACCTATATATCTGCCTAAAACATAAATGTACATATAGAGACACATGTATACATGCATATACCAATACATATACATATACATGCACATATACATATACATCTACATCTACAGATACATATACAAATACATATACATATACATATACATATACACATATATATATATATACATGTACATAGACATATACATATACATATGAATTTACATGTACATATACATAAACATATACATACACGTACACATATACATATGCATATATATATATATACATATACATATGCATGTACACATACATACTCACATACATATACGCATACACATACATGCCCATATACACATACATATACGTATACATAAACCTATACATATACATAAGCACATACATGTTCATATACATATACATATACATATGTGTATATATATACATATACCTATACATATGCATATACATATACATAAACAGATGCATAGACAAGCACAAGTACATATACATATACATATACATATACATATACATATAAATATACATATAAATATACATATACATAAACATATACACATACATTGACATTGTCATAGACATAGACATAGTCATAGGCATAGACATAGGCATATGGGTCTACATATACATCTACAGCTACATCGTCATCTACATCTACATATACATATACATATCCATATACATGTACGCATGCACATACACATACACATACACATACACCTACCCATACACATACGTATACGTATACATATGCATATACATATACATATACATATACATATACACATACATATACATATGCATATGCATGTACATAAACATGTACATATACATATACACACACATATACATATATATGTGTGTATACATTTAAATATATATATATATATGCGTAAACATAGACATGTACACGTATATACAGAAATACATACACCTATGCATATACGTATACCTATACATATTAATATACATATGCATATATATATATACATATACATGTACACATGCATCTAGATACACATATACAGATACATATACATGTACATATCTATATATGGAACATATATATATGTATGTATGAATACATATATAAATATACACATACATATATACATATAAATATGTACTTAGAACCACGCGCGTTTCGCACGCGCTGAAGTTCTAGCCGACCGCGCAGTCGTTGTCAGTAGACCTGGCGCTAATCCACGAACCCCAAGATACCAAAGAAGAGGTTCCCCAGGCAAGGACCCCCCTTGGCACGCGAAGGTGGTGGGCCTCCTGGTGGATAGCTTCGGCGGAGGAGGAGGGAGGAGGGGGAGGAGGAGCAGGAGGAGGAGGAGGGACGAGTGTAATTCCCGCCTGGAGAAACAACGGGGGTACAAAACTAAAAACCTCCCTCGGTTATCGAGCACGCCCGCGCGCGCGTGCGCGCAAACGTTACATGTTTGATGGCTCCGGGTACCTCTCACAAACCAGCCTACCTCAACTGGGGTCACAGCGGGCGCGTTTGACGCGCCCGCTGCTGCGACGAAGCTTGGGAGCCTCAGTACTTTTTCGGGAGTTTCAGAAGCTTCGAGAATTTCAGGAGCTTCAGGGGCTCGCGTAGTGGCGGGGCCGCGGGAGGCCCCGCCACCACGCGGGAGGCCCCGCCACCACGCGGGAGACCCCGACACCAAGCGGGAGGTCGGACACCACGTAACAAACCCAGATCAAGACTCCGACACCAGGCGGGAGACCCCGACGACACGCGGGAGTCCCCGGGGAGACCCCGACACCACACGGGAGGCCCCGACACCACGCAGGTGGCACGGACACCGCGCAGGAGCTTCAGAAGCTTCAGGAGCTTCAGCAACTTCGGAAGTTTCAGGAGCTCCAGGAGCTTCGGGAGCTTTGAAAGCTTCAGGAGCTTCAGGAACTTCAGGAGCTTGGAAGCTTCAGGAGCTTCAGAAGTTTCGAGAATGTCAGGAGCATCAGGGGCTTCGAGGGTCCGCGTGGTGTCGGGGACCACGCGGGGTTCCCGACGCCACGCGGGAGGCTCCGAGAGACCCCGACACCACGAGGGGTACCCCGACACGGAAGGCGCCGACACCATGCGGGAACCCCAGGGAAGACCCTGACACCACGAAAAAAAACGGCACCACGCGGGTGGCCCCGACACCACACGGGAGTTTCAAGAGCTTCAGGCAGGAGCTTCAGGAGCTCCGAAGGCTTCAGAAGCTTCTGGAGTTTCGAGAGCTTCGGGAGCTTCGGAAGCTTCAGGAGCTTCAGGAGCTTCGCAGGTGTTTAAGCTCCAGAATTTTCTGGAGCTTCGGAAGCTTCAGGTGCTTCAGAAGTTTCGAGAGCGTCAGGAGCATCAGGGGCTTCAGGGGTTCGCGTGGTGTTCGCGGCCACGCGGTAGGCCCCGAGAGACCCCCGACACCGCACGGGACACCCCGACACCACGCGGGAGAACCCGACACCACGCGGGAAACTCCAGGGAGACCCCAACACCACGCGGGAGGCTCCGACATCGCGTGGGAACCCCCCGAGAAACCTCGACCCCGCGCGGGAACCCCCGGGAAGACCCCGACACCACGCGGGAGACCCCGGCACCACGCGGGAGGTCCTGTCGTGGGCGTCGGGAGCGTCGGGAGTTTCAGGAGCTTCAGAAGGTCGGAGGGTTGGTGGTACCTTGTGCCCCATGAGAAGTGGTGAAATGACTGTTGATCTAGCTGTTGTAGACGATGGGGGTGTCTTAAAAAGGTTTGCTTGTTTGGACCCTCAGACTCTTATGCGATCAGAGTAGGTTGTGAGGATGTTTCGAGCGAGGCGCTGGCTTCAGCACCCCAAGGGGGAGGGCGCCAGGGGTGGGGACGCTCCAATTCTTGAGCCCAGTGTGGCGCTGTCTCAGGCGGTTTTGCTTGCTTTAGCCAGGGCTGACGTGGTGTGAATCCGATGGCCCTGCCACGCACTCGTAACCTGGGAAAGCTAAAATGGCGAG